AAGAGAAACAATAGAAAGAATAAACAAATGGGACTTCATCAGACTAAAGAGTTTCTTCAAGGCGAGGGAAAACAGGATTGAAACAAAAAAACAACCCACTAACTGGGAAAAAATATTTGCAAGTAATACATCTGACAAAGGCTTAATATCCATAATATATAAAGAACTCACACAACTCAAAAACAAAAAATTAAACAACCCAATCAAAAAATGGGCAGGAGACATGAAAAGACGTTTCTCCAAAGAAGATATACGGATGGCCAATAGGCACATGAAAAGATGTTCATCATTGCTGATCATCAGGGAAATGCAAATCAAAACCACACTAAGATATCACCTTACACCCATTAGAATGACAAAAATATCTAAAACTAATAGTAACAAATGTTGGAGAGGTTGTGGAGAAAAAGGAACCCTCATACACTGCTGGTGGGAATGCAAACTGGTGCATCCACTATGGAAAACAGTATGGAGATTCCTCAAAGAATTAAACATAGAACTACCATATGATCCAGCTATTCCACTACTGTATATCTAGCCAGAGAGCTTGAAGTCAGCAATTGCAAAAGCCCTATGCACTCCAATGTTTATTGCAGCATTATTTACAATCACCAAGATGTGGAAGCAACCTAAGTGCCCATCAACAGATGATTGGATAAAGAAGATGTGGTATATATATACAATGGAATACTACTCAGCCGTAAAAAAGAACAAAATCGTCCCATTTGCAACAACATGGATGGACCTTGAGGGAATTATGTTAAGTGAAATAAGCCAGATAGAAAAGGACAATCTCTGTATGACTCTACTCATATGAGGAATTTAAACCTGTGGACAAAGAGAACAGATTAGTGGCTACCAGGGGAAAGGTGGGGTGGAGGGATGGGCACAAAGGGTGAAGGGTTGCACCTACAACACGACTGACAGGCAATAATGTACAACTGAAATTTCACAAGATTGTAACCTATCATTAACTCAATAAAACATTTTTTAAAAAAAGTGTAGTACTCTCATAAAGAAGACACATAGACATATGGAATAGAATAGAGATCCCAGAAATAAAACTTTGTTAATATGGTCAAGTGATGTTTATCAAAGATGCTAAGACTATTCAATGGGGAAAGGATAGTCTCTTCAATAAATGGTGTTGGGAAAACTGGATATCCACGTGCAAAAGAATGAAGTCGGACCCTTACCAGAACTATAACAAAAATTAACTCAAAATCGATCAAAGATCTAAATAGAAGACCCCGAAATACTAAACTCTTAGGAGAAAACATAGGGGGAAATCTTCATGACATTGGATTTGGCATTGATTTCTCTGATATGACATCAAAGGCACAGGCAAAAAAATAGACGGATGGGACTACATCAAAGTTAAAAATTTCTGAGCATCAAAGGACACAATCAAGAGTGAGAAGACAATCTGAGGAATGGGAGAAAATTTTTTTAAATCGTATATCTGATAAGGAGTTAATATCCAGACTATATAAAGAACTCCTACAACTCAACAACAACAACAACAAAAACCCTGATTTTAAAGAAAACAGAGGACTTGAATAGACATTTCTCCAAAGATGATGTACAAATGGCCAAGAAGCATATGAAAAGATGCTCAAGGGGCCAGCTCAGTGGTATAGTGGTTAAGTTTCCATGCTCTGCTTCCAATCTTGGGTTTGCAGGTGCAGACCTATGCACCACTCATCAAGCCAGACTGAGGTGCCATCCCACATACAAAATAGAGAAAGATTGGCACATATGTTAGCTCAGCGACCATCTTTTTCAAGCAAAAAGAAGATTGGCAACAGATGTTAGCTCAGGGCCAATCTTCCTCACAGAAAGAAAGAAAGAAAGAAAGATGCTCAACATCACTCATCATTAGAGAAATGTAAATCAAAACCACAATGACATATCACCTCACACCCATGAGGATGGCTACTATAAAAAAGAAATTTTTTTTTTAACAAAATAAGTAGTGACAAGGATGTGGAGAAATTAGAACCCTTGTCCACTGTGGGTAGAATTGTAAAATGGTGTAATCACTGTGGAAAACTGTATGGTGTTTCCTCAAAAAATTGAAAACAGAATTACCATATGATCCAGCAATCCCAGTTCTGGGTAGATATGCAAAAGACTCGAAAGCAAGGTCTGGAAGAGATCTTTGCACACCCCTGTTCATAGCAGCAGTATTCACAATAGCAAAGAGGTGGAAGCAACCCAAGTGTCCATCACCAGATGACTGGATGAACAAAATGTGATATATATATATATATTTATACAATGGAATATTAATTCTGCTTTAAATAGGGAGGAAATCCTCTATATGCTACAACATGGATGGTAGCTTAATGAGGACATTGTACTAAGTAAAATAGATCAGTCACAAAAAGGAAAATACGGTATAATTTGACTTACATGAGGTATCTACAGTAGTCAGATTCATAGAAACAGCAAATAGAATGTTGGTTACAAGGGGGAAATGGGGAGTTATTGTTCAGTGTGCATAGAGTTTCAGTTTTGCGAGATGGAAAAGTTCTGGAGATCTGTTACACAACAGCATGGATATACTTAACACTACTGAACTGTACACTTAAAAATGGTTAAGAGGATAAATTTGATGTTACGGAGTTTTTACCACGACTAAAATTTTTTTTAAAAAGGAAGGAAACCGGGCAACAACAAATGTTGGCAAGAATGTGGAGATACAGGAAATTTCATACATTGCTGGTAGGAATGTAAATGGTACAGCCACTTTGGAAAACAGTTTGGCAGTTTCTTTAAAAAATTAAACATAAACTCATCATGTGACCCAGCTATTTCACTTCCAGATATCAACCCAAGGAAAGAAAACATATGGCTAGGAAGGACTTGCACGTGAATGTCATAGCAGCATTATTCATCATAGCCAAAAAGTGGAAACAACCCAAGTGTCCATCAACTGTTGGGTAGATAAACAAAATGTGCTATGTCCACATATGGAATACTATTCAGTAATAAAAAGTAATGAGCTACTGATGCATGCTATGGCACAGATGAACCTCAAAAAACATTAAGCTAAGTAAAAGGAAATCACACATATAAGGTCACATATTGTATAATTTTATATATATGAAATGTCCAGAAAGGCAACGCAAGAGAGCCAGAAAGTAGATGAGTAGTTGTCTGGGGCAGGGGGTGGGAGTGAGAATTAGCTTAAACAGGCATGAGGGATCTTGTTTCAGTGATGAAGATGTTCTAAAAATTGGTTATGGTGATGGTTGCCGAACTTGATAAATTTACAACTTATTTAAAATGAGTGAATTTTATGGTTTGTCAATAAAGTTGTTTTAAAAAATATAAAAAAAACAATTTGGGAAAGAAGGGTATTCTCAAGAGTCAGCACCATTCTTGAGTTGAAAGAAGTGATAATGGCAGGCAATGTAGGGAGAAAATCTTTAAAAAAGTAACTTTAAGAAAATCAAAACCTTCAGAAGAAAGGAATGATTTTCTTGGAGTTCGAGTGTAGTAAATAGTTTTAACATAGTCCTCATACTGTAAACACTAGTTATATTTAGAATCAACTTATATACAAAGCCTAGAAGACAATTTTATTAGCCTTGACAATGGAAAATGGAAAAGTATGGAGGATAAAGATTGGGAGATGAAAAGGGATAGGATCTCTGAGAATAGTAGGGCTGTTATAACATCCATTCTTACAAAGTGGGGAGTCAAGAGATACTGTCTGTAGATGATGGAATATAAATTGAGATACAGTTATTTTAGGAAGAGGAGAAGTGAAAAGTGGCATAGGCGAGTTAAATCTTTAGCATAGCAGAAACTAATAAATAATATCTGAAGTTGATAAATCAAGAAATAGTGAAAAGAGCTCATTTTTTTAGAGGTGTTTAGGGTAACCTTCAGAAGAAAGAGTTAAAAATTATTTCCTCTAGGGTACTGGAGGGGACAAGTTGTAGTGGAGAGTGGGGTCAGTAGAAGCTTTCTTTCATCGTAAATGCAGCACAAGTACTTGATTTTTAAAATCATTTTTATCAATTAATAAGGATTAGAGAAAAAAATATACACATTTGGAAGACAAAGATAATCCCATCCCCATCTCCTCCCAAAAAAGAAAGATAGAAATGAGTTGTCATTCTTTTCCCTGCTGACTAAACCGTACCCTGGTCTGTGAGTTTATGTTCCCGGAGAATATGCCTACCCCCTGGTGTTTGAAAAGTTCCTACAGAATCCAGAAATGGTTTGGTGCCTTTCTTTCTTTGAAGTTTCAAAGCCTGAGCTCCTGGGCCTGGATCCTAGCATTTGTCTCCCAGTAAAGGGAAACCAACAAACTGTGCCTGCCTGCTGAGTACAGGTCCTTATACTGGCTTTGGTAAGGTTAGAGTTATCACCACGTAAATTACAAGGACGCAAGCCTCAGGGGGGTAAGTTAAGTAAAGGATGGAGCTGGGTTTAAAACAAAGAAAGATAAATAAATAAGGTCTGTGTACCACCAAAGCCCATGCTCTTTGTCTGTGTCACTTGGGCTTTAATAAGTTAAAATCATTTCACCTGTAACAGGAAACCCAATTCAGACTTGCTTAAACAATAAGGATATGCATCAGCTCACATTACTAGAAGTTCAAGCAGTGGGGTGCTCATCATGGTTGCTTGATCTAGCAGCTCAGCAGTCATGTGGGAACCAGTTTCTGTCTCTCTGTTCTGATATCCACAGTTTGGGGTTTATCCTGAGACTGAGAGTCAGGTTCAGTGAGAGACACTGACTGCCCATGGCTGTCTCTTAAAATCAGGATGTCTACAGTTTTGAGCTTCCAGGCTCTAGGATTGCCCAGTTTGCCCTCTTTTGTAATGACCTAAACTGCCTGCTCTCTCCCAGGAGCCTCCCTTTTAGGTACAGACACACTCATTGACTCATAGCCTTCCTTTGGACTTAGTATTTATGAGAGCCCAATGCTCACTGTCATCCAGGAGATTAAGAGAAATAATCCTCATTTTTTCTCCCACAGGGACAAAATCTGCCTGGGCGTGTCCTTTTTCTGCGTTATGTAGTACAGACCCTGGAAGATGACTTCCAGCAGACCCTGAGGAAGCAACGACAGCACCTGCAGCAATCCATTGCAAGCACTGTGCTGTCCTGTGATAAGCAGCCGCACAATGTGAGGTAACCAGCCACGTGAGCCCTGGGATGACAAGAGGTAGGGCCATAGGTAGGCAGCTACTTAAGGCCAGAGAACATCGTGTGGATGAGATTTTCTAGTCACTGAACAGTGTAACAGGGATAGATAGTAGACTATAGACAATCCTAAAAGAAAACTGCTCTGTACCAACTATGTGTCAGCACCATAGCTTATGTGGTTTTTCTCTCAAGACCATCAGACTTCCTTTAATCTATTTCACTATTGTCCAGACAACCTCATGAAATCCAGGGGGAAACCTTAACTTGTGTAAAACTTTTCACAGCTTTTTTAAACCCAGATTTATTTCCATTCCCTGGAGTAACTCAAGATAAATCTCATTTGTCACTACTACTTTGTGAAAAGTAATACATATTATCATAATAGGTTATGTGGCTGACAGGAGGTACAAGATGGTAGCAAGCTTGTGTTCTTGGTTTGTTGAATCAGGGCCAGAACTTGTGGAAGCTCCAGAGCGGGGAACTACCATATCCTATACCAAGGGGAAAAAATGTGATTTCTAGGGTAGGCATCTCAGGCTGGAATTTTCCTCCTGGAACTACAACACTTGTCTTTTTTTGGAAATGATTCTCACCGGGCTAGTATACCAGCATACCTTTTTTCAGAACATCGTTGAAATTCTCCCACTCATATTTACATTTTTGTATGTTCTCACATATTTGTTAAGAATAGGTTTTACAGGCCAATATAGGATATTGACTGTCATAACTCCCCTAATTTTTAAAAAATGAGGAAGTTTTATTATGTTTTGAGCATCAGTCAGCTTTTTCCTCTTTAGTTTGAATGCCCATATCCGTTTCCCTAGATGTGGCATTTTATGTAAAATTTAAATGTTAATCAGTATAGGGGAAGGAAATCAGTAAGTAAATAGTCCACAAAGAGCACAGAATAGCATAGTTGGGTTTTAAATAGAGAAATAATTTAAATAAAGAGAGCGCAACTCCTCCAGTCAATCTGCTTTGTGAACATAGGCTTTCAATTGAATGGAAGAGGGAAGACACAAAACCCACTCCATCCAATGTCAGGTCAGTCCCTTTCATTTCCACCTCATGCTGTGAGCCTCTCACTATACAGAGTGTGATTCTTGGGTTTAAAGATAGGCATTTGTGGCCTCTAAATGCAAACCAGGTCCTCCATTTTGTGCTTTAACAATGAAAAAAATTAGCTGTTCCAGATGGAGGGAAAACCAGCTATCTTTGATTCAGTAAGAGATGGATATTAGATTGTGGTTGTAGTTACAAAGGTGTATGCATATATTTATCAAAACTCATCAAACAAAAACCTGTGTACAATTTATTGTATATAAATTATACCTCAGGGGCCGGCCCAGTGGCACAGCGGTTAAGTGCGCACGTTCCGCTTCAGCAGCCCGGGGTTCGCTGGTTCAGATCCCAGATGCAGACATGACACTGCTTGGGAAGCCATGCTGTGGTAGGCATCCCACGTATAAAGTAGAGGAAGATGGGCACAGATGTTAGCTCAGGGCCAACCTTCCTCAGCAGAAAGAGGAGGATTGGCAGCAGTCAGCTCAGGGCTAATCTTCCTGAAAAAAAAAAAAAACTTAAAAAAAAATAAATTATACCTCAAAGATAAGTTTTTAAAAAGAGAGAGAGATGGTAAGTCAGTCTCCATATGACCCCTTCTTAAGGGATTTTCTTTTCTCTTTTAACTATGCATACAAAGAGTAGACTAGTTCTGCAAGATTTAAATACACGAGTCCCCAGGTCCCCTCACCCTTTCCCACAGGGGTAACTACTTTCAACTCTTATTTAAGTGATTCTTTGGATATTTACCTTTGTATGGCTAAATAACATGCCTGTGTTGCTAATTCTTGATTTTTCGTTATTAGCTACTATCTGTTGACATCCCACATGAAGATGAAGAGTTAGCTCTTCTTCCTCCCTACCTCTTCCCTCACATACACACATTTCCTAGCTCCCATACCAACTAATATAGTTATATCATAACTTTTTTTAGATCAGTATTCAATGTTTCTATTACTATGACTAGCCAAGGCCTGGTGGTCTAGTGGTTAAGATTCGGCCCTCTCACTGCCAAGGCCTGGGTCCCTTTTGGGGCAGGAACCACACCATCCATCTGTTGGTTGTCATTCTGTGGTGGCTGTGTGTTGCTGTGATGCTGACAGCTGTGCCACTGTATTTCAAATAGCAGCAGGGTCACCCATAGTGAACAGGTTTCAGTGGATCTTCCAGACTGAGACAGACTAGGAAGAAGGACCTGGCAACCACTTCAGAAAAAATTGGCCATGAAAACACTATGAATAGCAGCAGAGAATTGTCTGATACAGCACCGGAAGGTGAGATGATGGCACAAAAAGACCAGACAGGGTTCTGTTCTACTGTACGCAGGATCACTAGGAGTTGGAATTGACTAAACAGCACTAACAACAAATTACTGTAACTATATATGCTAGTAAATGTTGAGCCAATTACTAAACTGTGATTACTTTTCCTTTCACTCATACCTTTTTGTTTTCCTTAGAGTTAATAATTGCCTAATTTTTAGTTTCCTTGTATTCTTTGTGCACATTGGAAATAAACCCCAAATTCTCTGCTATTTGATCTAAATCTCCCCTCAAGATATTTATTTGGACTGAGTAGTCTTATCAGTTTCCTCTTCTTTAAGATCTGTGGTGGAACACTTGGCCTTCTTCAGTCTGGTTTGGTGACCCCCATCTCTATCATAAATGTGAGAATTCCCTTCACCTGTTTCCAATGTTGGATCTCTTGTTTGTTTTTTTGTCCTACATCTTCTCTTTCTTGGTTTACTCTCTCATTTTGATGGATTAGTCTCTCCAGTAGCTTCTTAGAAAAGTGTGTGCCTAGTAAAACTTTTGAGATCTTCTATATCTGAAATTATCTTTATCTTCCCACACATTGATTGATAACTGAGTATAGATATTTAGGTTAGAAATAACTTTACTACAGAACATTGAAGGAAATCTTCCATTATCTTCTAACTTCCAGAATTGTTAAGTAAGAAGTCATAAGCTACTTTGATTACTGATTCTTTGTATGTGCTGTGGTTTTTTCCTCTAGAAGTTTATAGAATCCTCTTTTTGCCCAGTAGGCCTGTTGTAGGTCTATGTTCATCCATTGTGCTGGCCATTCAGTGGGTCATTTCAATCTAGAAACATGTCCTTCATTCCTGGAAGATAGAGTTTTCATTTCTGTCTTCATGTTTTTGATTTCTAAGATCTTTTACTTTTTTGTCTAAATATTCGTTTTTAAAATTAATAAATAGCGTTCTGTTCTTGTTTTCTTTTTTCACGGGTCCGTATCTTCTCATATCTTTGATGATACTAATGAAAGCTTTTGTTTTTGTTTATTCTCTGCATAATGTCTGTTTTTTCCAAGTTGCATTTTTAGGAGGAGAGGAGGGTTGCTTTTGACTGTTTTGGTCTTTATCTCTCATGTTAGAATATTTCCATAGATGTCTGGTAAACCTTGCTAGTCTATCCTTGCTTAAGGGTTAGAGACTCAAAAGCTGATGGAAGCTCTGAGTACCTGGGAGGACTTGTCATTTTTGAACTTCCCTGTAGGTAGAACTGGCTGCCCATTTCTTAGAAAATGCCTTGTCATTGTCTTTAAATCTTTCCTCTTGGGCTGAATGGGTTTTCCAGAGAAGACTTCCAATCTCCTACGTGAAGAATAAAGACTGGATGCCAGGCTTTTGGAAGGCAGGTGTGGGAAGATGGCAAGGGTCTCTGCCTTCAGCATGCGTATGTCCCCCCGGGCCCCTGTTTTTGCTTCGGTGCCTTTGCCTCCTAGCTGTGTCTGGTATCCCAGTCCGGAGACCCTCTGCTTTACCTCTCCACAAAGTTAACCTGTAGTCTGCAGAGTTGAGGAACACAATCTAGGGATCTAAGATGTTTTTTAAACAGCTTATAAGCCATCCTGCTTATTCTAACTTAACCCCTTTCACCCTCACTTCAGAGAAACCTTGTACTGCTATTTGCAAAGCTTATTGAAGATTCTGGGTTTTTTTCTTTTTTGGTAAATAGGATTGCTCTTTTCATCTGCTGGCTTAGGATTCAGCTTTCTCAATCCTGCTAAATCAGTTAAAATGTATCCCTTTGCCAAAGTAAGGACTTAGATTAAACATCATCCTTGAAACATGACACACTTGCTAATAATTTATTCACTTGTTAATTGCTCACTTTTGATTTTGTAATCAGCCGTCTCTTAACCTACCCTCCAAATCAAAGGCTGCCACCTTAACAATTACCTACATCTATCCACACATCCATCCCCCATTACCTACTTTTGTGCCTTCCTACACCCAAAGTAATCAGCATCCTGAATGTTCATCATTTCCTTTCCCTTTTGTGTAGTTTTGTTGCATCTATGTGTGTTCCTATAAAGTGTATATTTTTATTTTTGTTCCTTTTAGCTCTATATAAAAGGGCATCATGCTGTATGTAATCTCTTGGGACTTTTATTTTTCATTTAATCAGGTAGAATACTAAGATTTGTCCATATTGTTACCTATCACTGTAGCTTATCCATTTTCACTACTATGTAATATTCTATTTTTTTAATATACTTCATTTTCCTTCTAGCTTCCAAAATTTTACTGTTGTTATCTCCCCTTTTTTTCTCCCCTTCCTTGTGGATTTTTTTTAAATATTATTTACTGTAGTATTAGTGGAATTTTAGGAGGGAACAAAATTACATGTGTGTATTCAATCCACCATTTTTACCTGAGTTACCTAAGTGATTGTCAGAAGTAATTTTGACAATATTAAATATTTTTACCTTCCTAACTTTTAGAGCCTATACCCTGTATAAAGTATGACACCACTGCACATATTCTAAACCCTGGTTATTAGCATTAATAGATGACATCTAATATTAGAAAACCAACAAGGATGTCTGTTGTCATCCAGTCACACCTTCCACCTGGTCAAGGAGTGTTCCAATCAGGAAGCCACAGGTAGTGCTTTTTGACCTCAGAGGTACCTTTCAATTATAACTCAAAGGAAAATGTTGATATTTAGTTAGCTTTTGTGACCTTATTACAACTAAATGTGAGATTTCCATTAGAGTTGTTTAAGTATTGAAAATAGCCTAAGGGCCCCCTTTTTGCCTTTGGGGAAATCTAGGGGTCTAGGAGCCCAGGTTAAGGCTGCAGCTCAGAGCACCGTGCAATAAGACAAGGTTGAACGTTCTCTTTCTTATCTTTTTTCCATTGCAGGGATGTTATCAAGTGGTTGGTCAAAGCGGTAACTGAAGACGGATTAACTCAGCTCCCAAATGGGAATCAAACCTCTTCAGGAACAGGAATCTTGAGGGGCAGCAGTAGCCACCCTTCTCCCCCGCCGGCCCTGACAAAGAACACCAATCAGCTGTAAGGGGGAGGCAGCAGCCATCTTTCCTGGGCTATTGGGATTTACTGTTTCAGAGAATAGCACCACTCCCTACGAGCAGTTTCCCCAAAATTAACAAGCTCTTGTAACATAGAATGATTCTTACTAAAGGCTCTTAGTTTGACTAAAGCCTAAATTTCTAATTCGAAAGGTAAAACAAAAGCAGATGCTTTCCCCCCTAGATAAATAGGACTTCACTAAGTGAATTCAAATTCACAAAGATGAAGTAAAACACAAGCTAGGAGACATTGCCCTCCCTTTCCTGGATTCCAAGAGACAATACAGGGTTACAGCTCCTCATCCCTTCACCTATCCTCTGACAGAAGAGAAGGAGTCATGAGTAGTGAATGTCCCAGCAGCCTTTGTTCTCAAGGACCTGTACCTCTCCTCCAGTCCTGGCAGAAGAATAGCAGTTCAGCTTGCAGGTTCCAAGCAATGGCTCAGGCCGGGGCAGGTCCCGTTACCTCAGACTGCACTGGAAAGAGATTTCTGGCATTCCTTTTATGGGGTTGAGAGTGGTCTTGGCATTTTTTGAGACATGCCAGGATTTTAGGGCTAGAATTGTCCTTACACGAGTAACCTCCTATTCTATGTCAATCATATTGTTAGAAGCCAGTAACATTTGACAGCTCAAATACAGCATTTTGCCTGAATTCACAATGCTATATTATAATTTAGTTGCACCAACCTGATTTTCATATAAGGCCTATGGGCTTTAGCTAATTTAGGAAATAACTTTGTATCTACAGAGAGAATGTTTGGGAACAATGGAGCATTTGCTTGGCAGATTGGAGGAGGCCCTAAAGTAGCGTTATTCCAGAACCCCAGCATACAGACCCAAGAGAGGCAGACACTGCTCCTTCAGTGGAAGCTAATCTCATATAATAGTAGCAATCATAATAAATTTATTGTAAGTAAATATTAGTAAAAACTCAAAAGAAAGGCCTCTAAAAGTCAGCTTATTGTGATCTTAACAACAATAGATGCTACCATTGACTATTAATGAGTGCCTATCTGCCAGGTATCTTACACAGCACTCCAACTTAATGAAATAGGTGGTTTTATTCACCCCTTTTTAGAGATGAGAAGACTTGGATTCAGAGCAGTTTAGTAATTTGTCAAAAGTTGAACAACTTGTCATTACAGAGCCGGAACCTGATGCCGAAGCACCCGGTCCACCTATTGTGTCACTGACTGCAGGTTTTCTGAAAAGCAGAACCCTTTCTTCCGTCACAAATAATCGTGTTAGAAAAGGTTGACTTCAAGCCAGTCTCACCTTTTGGAGGGGTTGCCCAGATTCCTTCTGCCACCTCAACCTGGCTCTCTTCCGCAGTTAGGTCTGATGAGAGAAAGGGTCACGTTCTCCCAGTTAAAGTTCTGAGACTGAACCCAATTGGTAAAAGATTATTGTATAGGAACCAGTAACAGGAGAAAACTACTTGGTAAATATGTATTTTCTCCTATGTCAAAGAAATTCAAATAATTATTAGTCATTCTGGACCTATTTCTTCATCTGTAAAACAGAGAAGTTATAGGTTAGATGATCCTTAAAGTTCTCTAGATCCTTAAGATTGTGTGTTTCTATTTTTGAATTTAAAAGCAGCTTGCTTTTGCAGCTCAACCCCAGGTTCTGAGAGGTTCAGATAGTATGATCTGGCAAAAGGGATTCAGGTAGGTGAAATTGCTAAATAAAAGCATGCTGATGGCTTGAGTAGTTCTCCCTGACTTAGTGTGTGCTTTCCAAGATCCTTTAGTACACTGGTGGGGACCTCCTCCCAGCCAGCAGGGTGGCTCCTTGTCAGACCCTCTCGCTCACTTGTGTTCTGTGTTCTGGACTCAGGATTGTGTGCCAGCTGCAGAGGATGCTGTCCATAGCCGTAGAGGTAGACAGGACTCCCACCTGCAGCTCCAATAAAATTGCTGAGATGATGTTTGGGTTTGTGCTGGACATTCCTGAGAGGAGTCAGAGGTGAGTCTTAGTTTTGTTTTCGTTTTTTGTTCAGGGAACATAATTTCAAAAGAAAATTCCAAATAATAGTTATATTGGGGGAAAAAGAGGTAAAGGGACAGTTCCTGTCTCTTTAACCTTTTGAAAGATAGAGGTTCTCCACTAATTGTTATTATTTGCAACTAAGGCATAATTTATTGGGAAGTGGCAGGGTATCGCAAATGGGGCCTAAATCTTCTTACTTTATCTGTTTGGCTAACAACTTGACTCATCCCTCCAGGTTCTGCTGTTAAGCACTACCTTCTTCCCTGACCCTCAACTATAGAACCTGGTGTAAATGTCTACTAAAGCCTTGATGGATGAGTGAAATGTCCAATATTAGGAGAAGAAGAGGTGACCCAGAATGAGTAAGGTTGGACCTGTAGAATGAGCTCAGGTAGTAAGAGTAAGGAATTCAGTTTCTCCAAGCATGAATTAGTAAAGCATTCTGTTAGGAGGAGATAAAGAAATAGAGTTCTTGGCCAGGACCAATGATTCCTTCTTTGAACCAGTAATTTTAGAATCCAGAGGAAGAAAAATAAATGAATGAATATGAATTCATGAACAGTTGCTGCTACAGGACCATGAGAGAGCCATTGTACCCTAGGGAAATTGACTCCATCAGCTCCGTGTCTGCTTCTTATCCCCATCCCCTAAGCTCCCAGTTGGCAGCTAAAACTGTTCTTGTACAGTTCTGGTTCCTCCATTAAAGAAAATGTTACACCAAATAGCCTTGTAATAAAGATTTAATTAAAATGCCCTGCTAAGATTAAGACAAACATTTATTGGGTCCCTACAATGTGCCAGTCATTGTCACATTATCTCATATTTCCGTGAAACTTTATAACATTATTCCTATTTAACGAATGAGAAAAATACTCAAAGTAGTGAAGTAATTTGCCCAAGATAGTACTTCTAATCAGACTCAGAATCCAAATTTAAATCCAGGATTTCTTAATCCCGATTTCAGTGTTCAAAGGAGGCAACATGTTATAGTGGTCGGACAGAAGGAAGTGTACATAAGCGCCATACTTGCTTTATCACTTTGTCAGCAGTTATTTCATTTGGGTTCAACTGCCATACCAGTCATTCGTTTGAGAGATGGGAAATCTGAGGAATGGGTAACTCAGGGACAGTGTTCTTCCTCAAGCATAAAGAGAGAGATTGGCAACAGCTGTTAGCTCAGGGCTGAATCTTCCTCACAAAAAAATAAGTAAATAAAAATAAAAAATAGGAGCAAAATTTTTATGAACTGAGTCCAAAATATATTATTAAGTAAAAAAATATATACAAAAGAGTATGCATAGTAAATATAGATATATATTTTGTAAGAAAAAAGAAATTTAAAAATATACGTGATTATGATCATTTGTGAAAAAAGAAACAAAGCTAAGATAAACCACAGACTAATCAAATTGCTTACATACAGAGGGTGGATGGCAGTGGGCTGGAAAGGAGAAAAGATGCTGGGCTGGGGTGGTCATGGTGGTGGTGGTGGTGTAATACTTCCCTGAGTATATACTACTTCATATAGGAATAACTTTTAGAGCCAGATTAGTGTTTTACATACTCAAAAAAGAAAAATAAGTCAGTGCAGAAGTTGATGAAAAATGAATCAAGGGAAAGCATAACATGGAATACAAACAGACACAAATTAACCTAACTGTTTTAAATAAATAACATAACTGGGGAGGGGGAAGAGAGGGTCGGGGAGAACAAGCCCAGGTAACTTTTTTTTACTTTTTATTTTTAAATGATTATAGATTCTCAGGAATTTACAAAAACTAATACAGAGAGGCTGGATGTACCCTTCACCCTGTTTTCCCCAGTGGTTACATATTACATGACTATAGTACAATATGACAGACAGGAAATTGACATTGGTACAATCCATGGAACGTATGAAGATTTCACTCATTTTACATGCACTCATTTGTGTGTATTCTCTGCGGTGTTATCACGTGTAGACTCATGTAACCACCAGCACAATCAGATATACAGAAGAATTCCATCACCACAAGGATCCCTTGTGGTGCTATCCTTTTGTGGCCACAACCATCCATCTTCCCTAACCACTGGCAACCACTGATTTGTCCAAGTATCTTAAAACACTGTATTTGGACTAAATGCTCTCAGGCTAAAGACAAAATGAGCTGTAAATAAATATTGAACTCTAGTTAGTGGAATTCCTTTGTGCAGAGGTATGAGTTAACAATTCAAAAACTATCTTCTGTGTATTCTAAGATTAAACAAATAAATATATTGTGGATAATAAGAGCCAAATTTCTCACTGTCAGAGAAAAGAGTTACACGTGAAAAGAGGAAAGGATAGAAGGAACTCTGTGTTGCTGGATTAGAATCGGAGGCATCAGTATGAACTTGTGGTCTCTAGTAAATACAGATAGATACAGGAATAGATGTAGATGTATGAGGGTGTTTTATATATATTATATAAATGTATGTGTGTGTATTCAAACATCTTTTTCCTACCTCTGCCCACTGAGAGCATGGAAACAGTTACACTTTAGTAGCAATAAGCACACCTAGTACTCAGATCTTTGTTTCTAAATACCAGTTTACACTAAAAGGAACCAGAATTCCTTGAAGAAATGGCTGATTCCAGAGCTGACGCAGGGAAAAGTACAAGATAAGTATATGATGAGTTTGGAACATCTTGTGCCAGAAAGTAAGGAAATGTTCAAAGAATGTCCAGAGCATGTCAGAAGACACAAGAGCCAGATTAAAGGGCTTCTACTGACCAAACCAGGGGTAATTTGAGTATCAAAATAAATACTGACAGTAATAGACTATAAACTTAAATAAAATAAGAATCTATGATTCTAATACTGATAGGAAGGAGAGAAAGAAGAAAGAGAAAGGACCCTCTTCCTTACAGTCAAAAGCCAACTAATAAATGTAAGAGGAAATGATGAATTTGGAAAAAATACCATAGGCAACCATCATGATAGTTATTTCAGGTATGAATGGATACTAAAATGGTGAAAGTTTGTGGAGTACTAAGATATTTGCGTACTCTCAAAAGTATATTCCTACAAAATGCTCATTAATTATAAAGAGAAAAATAATAACTTTACGATGGAGACTCTGCCTTATTCAAGTGATCAAAGTTAACATCAACAATAGGACAAATTGGCATGATGTGCCTCTTGATATGATGTTCTGAAAAAAACCAAAACATTATTTTTGCAGTACTCCTGCCAAAAAATGCATAACTTCAATCTAATCATGGAGAAATAATCAGGCAAATCCCAAATGAGAAACATTCTGTGAAAAAAACTGACCTGCACTTTTCAAAAATGTCAGTGTCATGAAAGACAAAGCAAAATTGAGGAATTGCTCTAGATCAAAAGACATCAAAAGCAGACAACTGAATGCAGTGTGTAATCTGGGATTTTCTTTTGCTATAAACAGCTTCATTAGGACAGTAAAATCTGATTAAAGTCTGTGGATAATCTAATGGTATTGTGTTAAGGTTAATTGCCTGATTTTGATCATTGTACTTGGGTTATCCAAAAGAATGTCCTTGTTTTTAGGAATTATACACTGAAGTATTCAGGGATAAATTGATATCATGTATGCAACTTACTATCAAATAGTTCAGAGAAAAAAATTGAAAAGACAGAGACAAAGAGAAGGATAGAGAAAATGTGGTAAATGTTTAACATTTGAGGAATCTGAGTGAAGGGTATTAAGGGTATTTGGGAATTCTTTGTACTATTCTTGTAACTCGTATGTGAGTCTAACAAAAAAAAAATGTTTCTTGTAAACAGCATATATATCATGCACCGTAAGTGACATTTTCATCAACAACAGACCACATATATGACAGTGGTCCCATAAGATTACTGCCGTGCAGCCTAGGTGTTTAGTGGCTGTACCATCTAGTTTTGTGTAATTGCACACTATGATGTTCGTACAATAACACAATCGCCTACTGACACTTTTCTCGGAATATATCCCCACAGTTAGCAACTCATGACGGTAGTTGGGATTTTCTTTTTTAGGCAGCTGACAATCCCTGCCTTTTAATTGGAGTTATTTATTCCATTCGCATTTTATTTAATTACTGGTTGTATATCTATCATCTTGTTATTTGTTTCTTATTTGTCCCTCTTATTTGTTCATTTTACATCCTTTCTGCCTTCTTTGGACTAATCAAGTATTTTCTATTATTCCATTTTATTGCTCCTATTGGTTTTTTAAGCTTCTTTTTTTCGATTAAAATTTTGGTTTGACTTAAGTATAGATCACATGCAGTTGTAAGGAATGATAGAGATCCCATGTACTTTTTACCCAATTCCCCCCAATGGTAACATGTTGCAAAACTATAGTGCAGTATCACAATGAAGATATCAAGATTGATACAAGCCAAGAGACAAAATATTTTCATGACCACAGGGGTTACTCATGTTGCCCTTTGATAGCTGTACCCACTTCCCTCCTGTCCCCAGCCCTTCTTAACCCCCAGCAACTACTAATCTGTTCTCCATTTTTACAATTTTGTCATTTCAAGAATGTTGTGTAAATGTAATGATACAATATGTAACCTTTGGGATTGGCGTTTTCCACTCAGCATAATTCTCTAGAGATTGATTCCAGTTGTTGTGTGTATCAATAGTTCCTTCCTTTTTATTGCTGAATAGTATTCCATGGTGTGGGTATACCATCAATTTTTTTAACCGTTTACCCATTGAACGATATCTGTGTTTTCAGTTTGGGGCTTTTATGAATAAAGCTTCCATAAATATTCATGTACAAATTTTCATGTGAGCATAAGTCTTGATTTCTCTGGAATAAATGCCAAGGAGTACAGTTCTTATATCATATGTCAGTTACATGTTTAGTTTTTAAAAAGACTGCCAAACTTTCCCTGTGTGACTGTACCATTTTACACTCTCACCAGCAATATATGAGTGATCCAGTTTCTCTGCATCCTGGCCAGCATTTGGTATTGTCACTGT